AGTAGCCTAAATAAAAACATAAAGGGAACAGAATCATTAAGTGTATTATTTAATAGTTTCCTGTTGCTGCTATAACAGATGACCACAAATTTAGTGGCTTAAAACAACATAAATTTACCTCACAGTTCTGGAGGTCAGAAGTCTGATATGAATCTCACTAGGCTAAAATCAGAGTGTCAGCAGGGATGCATTGCTTTCTGGAGACTCTAGAGGAGAATCCATTTTCTTGATTTTTCTAGCTTCTAGAGGCCACTTGTGTTCCTTGGCTCATGGCCCATTTCCATCTTCAGAGCCAGCAATGGCTAGTTGAGTCTCACTTGTTCTGACTTTTCTGCCTCAGTTTTCCTCTGAAAACTGGCCCCACCAGTTATTGGGCCCATTTGGATAATCCAGGATCCTCTCCTTAATTTAAGTTCATCTATTAATAATTAGCAACTTTAATTCCATGTGCCATCTTAATTTTGCCTTGCCATGTAACATAACATAGTCACAGGTTTTGGATTAGGATGTGGGCATCTTTGGGAGGCCATTATTTTGCCTATAATACCAACTGTGCAGTTAGAGCTTTCAAAACTTTGTTTTTAGTAAGTGACCATTGGCAGGTTTCATCAGTCTTTGAAGGAACAGTTATCATTTTCCTATGACCTAACAATTGGGTTGCCCCACACTTTGCTCACAGAGCAATGCAAACAGCACTGGGGCCAATACAGTAGCAGCAGATTCCTTGCCTGAAACCCACATTGCCATCATGCGCAAAATCGTCTTTCACTCTCCTGGGGTAACTGCAAAATGTATTTTCTCAATGAATATTGTTTCCAACAACCATGGGCCTGTTGGGTCCTAGCTAGGGACATCTTAAGGAGCTTGAGCTATAATATGGAGAGACCTCTTCTTCGCTCTCATTAAAGCATGGTTGAGTTTTAGGATTAAAGTCCATGGAGAGCACAGAGTTAAAATACTGTAAACATGGATCTCCTGTGTGTGTTTACCAGATGATCAAGAAATGCAGAACAACTGAAATGGCTCTGGAAAGCTTGAAGCAGCAACTGGTGGACCTTCATCATTCTGAATCACTTCAACGAGCTAGAGAGCAGCATGAGAGCATTGTTATGGGCCTCACAAAAAAGTACGAAGAGCAAGTACTGTCCTTACAAAAGAATTTGGATGCTACAGTTACCGCACTTAAAGAACAGGTTGGAATGATTTCAAATGAGCAACTGTTATCAGCAAGTAAACTGATTATTATTATTTTTTTTGAAACCAACATTTTCTGGTTCATCATATAAAAATCATGGATATTTGTAGTAGGTGTTAGATTGTAAGTGAAACTTAAAAGCCAATGATTTTTTAATCTATGAATATGCCCTAAAAGTATGATTTTGGAAACT